TTTCATGATTTTAAACTTCCATTATCAACAAATATCCGCTGTTGAAACTACCCATGACGATAAAATAAATATGTCTGGCTTATCAGAAGTTTTACTACGTAGTATCGCTGAGTATTTTTATGAGTTGTGCCGTATGTACTTTGAGGAGCTCGTAGGGCGAGTCAAAAGACAAACAACGAGTAAAAATACTCAGCGATACTACACAACAAAACGTCTAATGAGAGATTTATTATCCAACACGCCAAATTATTATTTCATTGCCGGCGAATTTCGCGGATATTTCTGAAGTACGGTGAGCGGTGAGTACGGTGAGCGGTGGTCAGCGGTGAGCGACCAAGATGGGCGCATAGTTTGCAGCTCCGTTCTAACTTTCTCAACGTTTTCTTCGTGTACTGTATACTAATTTCTTTAATAATTGTCAAATTTTCAATCAGCAACATGCCAAGTGACTCTAATTCATCGTTAAAGAAGAAGAATCTAGAGCTCAAAGCTCAAACTGAAGATCTCGCTGAAGAGATCAAGGATCTCAAATCGCACGGCTAGGTAACAAAGATGGCGACGAGACCAAAGATCTCCCACAAATGAGCAAGCAGATTTTCAGTCTGTCCAAACTAGAGCAGAAGCATAGCTCAGGCGGTTAAGTGCTCGTCTTGCCCAAGTGATTGCGAAAGTTGATGAGGTAGGGAAGGCGATTGATGCCATCGAGGAGTACAGCTTCCAGTACAACATCAAGATTGTATGTAGGAGTACCTGAACTCAATAGTCAGGAAACGGCAGAAGTTACGACAAAATTATGTGACAAATTGTTTGCCGAGATGGGGACGAATATAACCTTACAGGACATAGACATAGCGCATCGAGTGCCACTCAGAAGTGCCGGGAATTTGCCGAAGCCAATCATATATTAGCAAATCATATATTAGCCAATCATATATTAGCAAATCATATATTAGCCAATCATATATTAGCAAAGGAGGCGGTTATGGCTCGTCGGAAAGATGCTTGTAAACC